TTGCTGAGCCTCCGTTACCTTCACATGGGGAACGGGGCTGGAGGGTGCGGGGAGAGGGGACCCTCACGGAATTATTGGAGGCAGATGAGACGGATCTGCTCAAGTGCCACGTCAGCTGCCTTGGTCTGTCCAGGGCGAGACCAGCTCACAGCACCTCGCTCCCCAGCCATCCTGGCCAGAAGGCAGCATGACAGCGTGGGACGCTGTGCCAAACGCCCCCCCAGAAAGCCGGCCGGTGGCTTGTCTTTTAGGGGGAGAGGTATGCACTGGTCTGCTGCCCCAGCTCCTTCACAGACAGTGAGGTTGGATGCATACAGCGCTGTGGGCTCTTGCTGTTGGAAAGGTTTTACAGGTAGGCCCAGGGGGCGCCATGGGGAGAATGTGCCAATACTCAGGTGACATTCCAATGTGGCTCTGCTACTGGCTTCACTTCCGCCGCCCCCCCATTCCCTCTCTCCCTCCCTCCTTCCGACATACGGCCTATCACATTTGCTTCCACCATAGCAGTGTCTTCGAACTGACCTGATTAGTCTTTCAAATGGGGTTGAATTTGTCTAGAAGGCACTTGGGCATTTATTTTCCTAGTGACATCATAGGGTACCACACTTTTTGGGGCATGGAGGGGGGTATGGGGTATGGAGGCAGACGTGAAAATACCGCCAGTTCTAAAAACTAGGTCTTGGCAGAGCTGGCAGACCGCACCCTGAAGGCTCTGCATCCGGGAGGAAGGTTTTGCTGGGGTGCTGCTGCTGGTGGGTGTTTGGGGAGTGAGTTAACAGCTTGCCGTGCGAGTTGAGTAAGCAGGCTGCCACTGAGAATGTCTACTAAACTGATAACGGTGCCACCCTGGATTAACTGTCCCGCATGTCCTACGACAAGCTAGAAAAGGGCACGCCTACATTAAACCCAGCCTCCCCATTGAACAGAAGCCCAGAGGGGGCTCGGCACATACTCAGAGTCACAGTACGGTGGCCGCGCCGGCCCAGAACCAGGGCTTCTCTCCCATTGCTGCTAATTCAGTGATTAGAACGAGAGGCGGAATTCACCTCGTCTGCCCGACTGCTCCCACCGTTCCTTCTGTGTGTTCGTTTTTCCCCTTAGACTTGGGTTCCCTCTTACTGGGGGGAGAACAACTCCTTCGTGGATGGTCTGAGTCAGGGTTTATTGAACCGTGTACCTCGTCCAGCCTTAGACTGACACGTCCTGTATACAGGACGGGGTATCAGCCTCCCGAACCAACACAGAGCTGATCCTTTCTCCGCTGGTTCTCGTCTCTACAAGGTGGGCTATTCATTAATAGAGAATTTGGCAGCCAGACCAGAGGAAGCTCTGCTTGTACTGGCCGAAGACCATTCTTGGTAATTACAACTGTGACCCTCAATTTGGTGGTGGTGGTGGTGGGAGGTGTACATGTATATAATTTTTTAAATCAAGAATTTGGCTTAAGTTTTATAATATTGTAACTACCATGGTGTCTCTACTGTGTGCCAGCTGCTTTTACAGACATTAATCTTATACGGTAGGTGGCAGCACACTTGTTTTTGTGGGTACAGAATCTGAGGTTCAGCAAGGTTAAGTGATTTGCACAAGGTAAAGTGGCTGATGGAGAGCAGAGGATTTGAACCTAGGTCAGACGAGCCCCAAGGTTCTCAAAGCGCCCTGCCACCCATTCATTATCTGACCCTGGCCTCGCTCAAGAAAACATCTCGCCATTTTTTATTTTGAGAATGAATGAGAAAGGAGTTTGAACAAAATGTGCTTAGCTATCTGTCAACCGACACTTCAGTTACACCACGGTATCTAGAGAACGTTTCTGAAAATTAAGTTTTCTGGATTGAGGCCGTCACCACTTGTCCTTGACTTCCTTTTTGATGCTTCTAGAATAAGTTGTCCTTTAATATCACATTAAACACAAAGTTGGCTTTTTTGCTGATAAGAAATACATCTTTACTGTAGAGTATACGGATATTCACAAAAAGAAAAGCTGGTCCCTAACAACACACCAGCTTCTGGTTAAGAATGTGGGCACTGGAGCTGGGTCATGGGGCTTCGAATCTCTGCTCTGCCCCTTAAGATTTGTATGACCCCGAGTTAGCCACTAACTTCTATGCCTATCTCCTTGTCTCTGAAGTTGGAGTACCCTGCCTCACCGGGCTGTTGTGAAGATTAAATGATGGCAAAGCCCCTAGAAGTGACTGAGAGATGTTTCATATTTTAAGAAATAATCTGGTTTTCCTCTGTGAACCTGTGTATACTTGTATAAATACATATGCTAGTTTGCATGTGTAATAAACACAAAGGGGTTATTTTTAAGCCAATTTTCATCTAATGTATTGTGACTGCCTGTCCTGGCCTCTAAGGAGCCTTATTCATTACTTGATGCTGCCTACGACCCCATGATGTGTGGGCGTGAACGGGACCGGTCCATATTGTGGGGTGTGCGGAGATCCAGTTTTGCACGAACCCGATGCGTTTTTAAATCCATCTGAATAGATGTTGTACAGTGAATGGTGTCTCTCTAGCTGACAGGAGCTTCCCCCTCTTTTCAGAGCATCCCTGTCCCCCCACCCCCGGCACGAATGGGGACGCAGGCATTGTCCCTTTGGGGACATTCTGAGTGTGGCATCACTGAACTTTTATACGCCAGACCTAAGTGTGCCTTTTCCTCCTACTCCTCCCTTGAATCTAGAAAATCCATGTTCTTTTACACACTATCTCTCGTATGAATTCTCTCTTGGATCCAGAAATCACAAATCAGAAAGCTCTCTTGTTCCGTTCTTGCTATGTCTGAGGTGCTTTCTAAGGAGGTGCCTTGTCCTTCTTCAACAGTCTTAGGGGTGACACCCTCAGCTTCCTTGCTCCCCAGGGTGGACCCTAAACTCTGCCCTTCAGGGTGGAGGCTGCAGTCACTTCCGGGCCCCATACCCTGCCATTTTAGTTTATCAGCTTCTGGTCACACACTTGACTGACGTAATATTCTTCTCGTTGGTCTTCGGTTGGCAGAAACCATTGATTAGGTCCCCCTTCAGTTTCCCCTCACCTGTCTGCTGCTTTTAGCCACTAGCAAACCGACAGGTCACATGTTTGAGGACCCTACTCTTAGCTCTCCGCCCCACACCTTCGGGTGTATTCTACCTGCAGACTCAAGGGATGTACCTGGCTACAGGGCCTGAGCTCCAGGAGGCAAGAGAGTGATGGGTAGGAGTGAGTCGGGCTTCACAGCCCTTTGTGGGATGGACCTCTTTAAAGGTTTACGGCTTTAATGGGATTTTCTCCTACAGTCCGATCCTGGCGTTTTAAACAGCATGCATCCTAAAGGGACTCAGCTGCCTTCGCGGACACCACTGACCGACCAGTCGCAGGCACAGCCCATTTTCCTGTGATGTTTAAGGAGAGGGCTTGATTTTGCACTGGAATCCAGGGAGTAGAGTATCTCTGAGAAAGAAAGACTGCGATGTGCTATTTAAGGCGAGGAGTCTGACAGAAGTATGGCGGTGCCGGTGTGCCTTCAAGGTGTGCTGGAATGGCATCGGGACGTACAGAAATGACGTGTGTATCGCATTAGGAAGTCACGTGTGCACAGCAGTTCCTCTCCGCGGTGTTTTCCGATGTGCTCTGTACTGTTTCCTCCCGACACCCTCCCCGTGAGAAAGGTTAAGTAGCAACATCCACCTTGCACTGATGAGGACACCGAAGCCAGGAGAGGTCAGTTGACTTTCCTCGGGGTTTAGAGTAGCTGGCCCAGCTGGGCTGGCTGCTGCCTGTAACTGCTGTTCTACTTGGAAGTCTCTGCAGAGCCAGTGCTGCCTCGGCAAAGCCCTCTCAATGGAGGCAGGAGAAGCTCCCAGGCCAGGAAGGAGCATCTTGCTCAGCCATGTTCTTGCAAGTCTTGTTTGCAGGCTGCAAGGCAGAGCGAGCCAGACACTTCAAAGTCTTAGTCCGAGATCCTTGACCCCTAAAAGTTGCCTTGCTGCCTTGAGCTAAGCTGTTAGGAGTGATGGATGGCAGAAGTAAATTATTTTTGGCTCGACTGCTCAGACTTGGCAGGGGGCCCTTTAAATTTGAAATGTAAACTTGACATCGACAGAAGGTTTAGGCCTCTGAGGTCATTTTCTCCTTACAGTTCCCATGCTGGCCTGATCTGTGGCGTGGTTACCGATTATGCCAGCGACATGCTCTGTGAAGGGCTCAGCAATTAAAGTGTGTAACAAGGCACACTCTGTAATAAGGCTACAGGGATGGCTTCTGATGTACACGGCCCGTGCATCTCTGCCACCCACAGGAAAGCAGCACACTGAAGCCAGGTTGGTGCTGCTGGTGGTGACCTGGTCTTAGGGAAGAAGTTAGCATTCTGTGCTTCTGATCTCCCTGTGTCTTGAATGCCCTTTTCCTCTAGCTCCTTAGATGCTCACTCCCCACTGGCTAAAATCCCCACAAGACTGCTATGGGCTTGAGGAGGGAAAGGCTCCCCCCGCCTCCCCCAGCTTATTGCGGTATAATTAACAGATACAAATTGTACAGATTTAGAAGAGGAGGAGCTTTACTAAGAGTGAGGAATGCATGGAACTTTGAGGCAGCACAATTAGTTGAACCCCTTCACTGCTTACGAGTTAGGCCTAGGCCACTGAGGTCTTGTTGTTGAGCATCGTTTTCTCAGTTGTAAAATGGGAATATTCTTGGTCACCCCTGATTAAAACTGGAAAGCCATGTTAATAGACTCATTTACCTCACAGATGGAAGCTCACATTGTGGTCCAGTGAGAGGTGGCCTGTGGCCTCAGATGAGTTGTCACTGTTTCTCTGCCACCCAGACCAGCCTCCTGGGCACACGGTTCCGTTTACCTTAAAATGGGAGGCAGAGCAGAGATTTGCATCTGGGGCTTGGAACGCTGTGCATTTTATCAGCCTGTGCCGCTGATTTTCATGAAATCAAAGCCAAACTAGGTGAGCGGATGAGGCTGGACCGACATGACTTCTATCTGTATGTTTTGTCTGGAGCAGGAGTCCCTGGTCACCTCCCTCGTCCGTCCCTCCCGGATGGAACAAGACGACAAACAGGGTGTGTGTGAAGCCCCAGACTCAGAAGACAAAGGGATGGGCTCTGACTTTGAGAACTCTGAAGACAGGGGAGGGGACCGTGAAGACAGCTCCGATGCACAGGACGTGGGTAAGAGAGGCGGCCACCCGGAGGAGGACATGGGCTCCAACCCGCAGGATGGCACTCCACGAGGGGCCTCGGAGGAGCGGGAACTAGTGTCTGACTTCTGCACAGGTGAGGACAAAGCTGCCGTGTCCGTGGAAGTTGCCCCACTCACGTTCAGGTCTGGCTGCCCGAGTCCCACAAGAGCGGGGGCCGCGTTCTTGCGAGGGAGCGCTCGAGAGACCAAGGGCAGGTCCTGCGCCGTCTTAAGCCCGAGGAATCTTTTCTTCAGTCGGGCCTGAGGTGGCTGTGCTGTGAACAGGGACTCACTGGCACAGCACTTCACAGTCTACAGAACACTGACTGCTATAGATCAACACTTGTAACAACACAAGAGGGAACTTGGGTAATTTTAGAAGCTGCCTCTTGGAGTCGCTGGGAGAGTTAGGTGCCTTGCTGCATATAAAGGCTGACCAGGCTCAGTGCTGCTTAAAACAAAGCCTTCAGATGTTCACAGTTACCGTATTCATCTGGTCTGGAGATAAGTAAACTCGTGGTGGGGGCGGACTGACCTGCCCGGGTTCATGTGGAATGTGGCTAACACCCAGAGTGTCCAAGGCCCCCTCTATCCCCTTGCTATTCCTGACCTGGAAAGAATACACGCTGGGCCGCCAGCCATCTTCCGTTCTGTCTTCAGGCTTCTGCTCCTGTATCCTGCTCTGTGTATGCCCTGGGGACAGAAAATGAGCCGAAATACCTTATGGCCAGGACCGTGAGGTTACATTCCTTCCCCTGTGACTGTTCCAGGCTCCCTGCTCCTGTGCACACAAGCACATGCCCTTTCATATCCAGTAACTTCCTGGAAGGCCCTCTGCTTGGGGACAAGCGGCCAGAGACAGACCAGTGTGTGGTCAGTGTGTGGTCGGGAGCAGCCTCTAAGTGGGCTCACCAGCTCCAGGCCCTGTGCTCACTTCCCCTTCTCCCCTACATCTCCCCACCCCTCTTACACAGTAAAACCCACGAGCTGTTCCAGACTGACCAATCACATTAAAAAAAAATCAGTCCCGGCCCGGTTAGGGCAGGTGGTCTTGTGGTTGGCTGGAGTGGTCTTAGTCTTAGGTTAGGGCCTTGTAAGGCATGGGGAGTTCTTAGAGTAAGCAGATCTCTTAGAGATCCCACAGAGTCCCACCTGGCCCAGACTTGACCGAGCCGACTGTCAGGGCCTCGGATGGCTCCGTGAGCCCAGCCTCGGGGGCAGTGAGTGGGGCCTGGGCCCAGAGTTCGCTGCCAAGAACCCGGGAGGCGAGGGGGCCGGTGAAGGAGCTCTCCCCCGACCCCTTCCCAGCACGCTCTCCTTTGGGCCTTCCCCAGAGGGCTCCGGGTGGGGAGAATGGCGCCCCTGGAGTGTGGTTGAGGGTACCGTGGGTTGCGGATTCATTACTCGTGACCCTTGTTGAGAGTGGCTTCCTCTGGGTTGACCTTTCGAGCGCCAGGTATAGTCACCCCCGTTGCCACCTTATCTGTTGCAGAGGGGCTGCTGAGTGAGGAAGAAGGGGTGGCCCTGCGCGAGGAAGAGGATGACCAGTCGGCCATATGCGAGGTGGCGATGTTCCCGGGCCTGTGTGAATCCGACAGCCGATCCGGGAGCGCCGGGGAGAACCGGCTCCAGGAGGAGGAAGAGGAGGAGGAGCCGCCGCCACTGCCCGTGCTTCCCTGGAGGCGGCACCTGTCCCTGGGGGGT